CCCACCACTTTGGGAGACCAAGGCAGGAAGATCCCTTGAGGCCAGGAGTTCAAGACCTGCCTGGTCAATACATTTAAGCTCAACATTTCTTAATGCTGTATTTCTTTATATATGGAAATCAAAGAATATTGTGGAATCAATCCTTTAATACACAAAGGCTCATTTAGTGTAAGGACTTCATGAAAAGGTGATCTAGGAACAGGGGCTGCAAGCTAGGAAGGATAAGCCAGTACTAAATAGGTCAGCTAGATGGATCTTTCACTTGGGACTCATTGAGGAATTGAGACAATAGAACCTTTGGGGAAAGGGAGATTGGAAGAAGCATGTATTTTTTAGCTGTCTGCCAGTAGGTTCACCTGGAAGTCAGTAGAAGCCAGAGGCAGAGAGGTAAGAAGTGTGTCTGTAGCTGGTGGGGGCTCTAGTGGAATCGCTGCAAAAGTGGATGGGATAAAAGGCAAGACTAATGATCATTCTTGATTGCATTTGGTCCTCAGTAAGTGCTAGTACAGGGGTTTTCTAAACTTCTCTAAAGGCTTGGCGCCTATAGCTCAGAGGCTAGGGTACCAGCCACATACACCAGATTTGGTGGGTTCGAACCCAGCCCAGGCCTGCCAAACTACAACAAAAAAAATAGCCGGGCGTTGTGGCAGGTGCCTATAGTCCCAGCTACTTGGGAGGCTGAGGCAAGAGAACTGCTTAAGCCTAAGAGTTTGAGGTTGCTGTGAGCTGTGATGCCACAGTGCTCTACAAGGGCAACAGTGTGTCTCAAGAAAAAAAAGATAAGGTTCTCTACAGTTGTGCCAAGTAGGCACTTACCACTTTTCACTGAACTTTGAAAGACTTAGGTCTGGGAAATAGTGTGAGAATGAAACTGCAAAAAGGAGACCAAGCTTCTCTTCACAGAGTATGCTCTCCAACCTAATTTACACAGGAGTTCAGTAGTTTAAGTTTTCTAAGAGAAACTATAGTTTATCATGTTAAGTCTATGAGGAGTTCATGAGAGAAATTCGGGCTTCAGAGTCAGCTCTTAAGATATGTACTATTCTAATTACATTTTTTCACATTTAGGAAAAAAAACCTTAGAGGTGTAAATACAGAAGATAAATAGTTCTTGTAGCCGCCTTTCTGAATATTACTTAACTAGCAGGTTGTTAACTGATTTTAACAAATTCTATGTAGTAAAAAAAATGTTTTTTTAAATGAGAACATCAGCTTGGATTAACCACCTTCAGATGAAATAGAAAACTGCTGTTCACCTTACCCAGGGATACACCTGTTACTTGTATAACTTGTTGCATCCTTTCTGTAATTCACTTTCTAAAGTAGGAGTTAGTGAAAGCATTTAAGTCCTTTGTAATTTTAGAAGGTACTTTTATAATTGGAGATAGGAAATGATATACAGACATGAAGTGATCCTAAGGCTGTGCTCCATGACAAGGGGTGCATGTCAGTTTCATTAGCCAAGAATTGTGTTGATAGGGGACACATACTTGAGCATATAACAAGGTTTGGAGCTGGAACTAAGATTTGCATTAAAGCTGTAATCATCCTAGTGAAGACGTCAGTACTGAAATTACCATAGACAAGCCTCTTTGGTTCTGGGTTCCAGTTTCTGAAAGGAAAGCAAAACAAGACTCTACTGAAAATATCACCACATTGGTTTGGGTTTGAGGTCCAGGGATCTGCAAACTAAGAAAAATGAAGTGATTCCAAGCTCTTAATTCACTTGGGTTATCTAGCAGAAGGCAAATGGAAAGCCTTTGGAGGGAGAGACCTCAGCCAAGAAGCCAAGATTATTTGGCAACAAATGATAGAAAGGAGTCTGAATTGCAGTAGGTTAAATAGGCACTTTTCATAAGAAATCTGGAGGGAAGTGGCTGCTGGCAGTTGAATAGTATTTCATGTCAGGACTAGCACTCTTGTAGTTTTATTGGGATTTCCCATATGTGAAACGTTATGAGCACAAAATGTTTGCTCCATAGAAGAAGCAGTACCAGATATACAAATCTCCATTAAGTCAGCAAGGGGTTTTCCAGAAATACCTCAAGTGACTTTTGCCTTCAACTTACTGGCCAGAACTGGGCCACATGGTCTAACTGCAAAAGAAACTGAGAAAACATGGAAAAGGATGGACTGTCAAGATGAGACCAATTATGACCCGCTAACTAGGATACAAGCTGGTGAAGGAGGTGATGTTGATTTGAGTATAGGGTTTGGCAGAAATGGCATTTCTTCCATTGATTTGGTCTTGCAAAATTTTAGATAGGCCCTCACTGAACATCAACTCACAAACCAAAATATAAGGAAACAATCCACCAAAAGCAAGAATCAACAGACTCAATACACAGCAAATTTAGACTTAGGTGAATTAAGTGGGCCATAAATTTTTCAAAAGCAAAAGAACACAA